GTCTTTCCCATCCCATTAGTTGAGCGAGCAGGTTCTGGAAAGATGAAGGCCTTTTTCTCAAGTTTATACTATTGTTGGGAAGATAGAAACAACTAATTACTTAAATCACAACTGAAAATGCTAAGCACTTTTTAAGGGTATGGCCTAAACCAGGAGAGGGAGGAGCCTTTTCTGTAGATGTAACATTTCAGCTGAAACCTGAAGGGCTTGGTGGTCAGAGGCAAAGCAGTGAGGCTGCAGCTTGAGAAGCCAAGGGGAGGACGGAACCCCTCGTTCTTGGGTGAAGACTGTGTAACTAACCAGAGAACAGTGAATCTTTTATGATCTGATCAGCTCCTCTAAGAATAGGATGGGGCAAGTATGAATGTGGGGAAATCAGTGCTTCACAGTGACTCTGTCTCCCTTACTTCACCCTCCTCACTAACACCTCGGCCTGCTCTCCTGATTCTGCCCCACCTCTTCCAGGCAGTCCTCATTATTGCTCCAGGAACCTCTGTCAAATCCAGTGGGCCCATTTTCGTCCTTATCCTAGGCCTTTTCGCTGTATGTGGCCCTGCATTATTTTCCTGCTAAATCTCCTTTGCTCTTCTGCAGTCATAAAGCTGTAAAATCAGTCTTTTTTCCATCATTTTTTAGCACCTTGAATGATAGTTGCTTTTTTAGAACTTTTAAAAAATCTTTCTGCTTTTCAGATTAGAAACCTACAAGTTAAAAAAAAATACTAAAGCTACTTAAAGGAAAACACCTGGTTCTGTCAGTAATATTACACTATCTTGCTTTCAGTTGATAGTTAACTTAGGAAGACCCACTCCTGAAAAAAATGGCCTAAGGCGCTCTTCGGTGAGCCCGAGCCGCCTCAGTGGCTCTCACTGACGGCAGGGGACCTCATCAGACAGCAGGTTAACAAGGCCTCTTAGTCTGAGTCTTCCGGTTTGCCTCAGGCTTGGCTGTGTGCCAGACCTTGCTGTCTGTTAGCCTCGTTGTTTCTTTTGATTCTTTCTTCTATTGCCTATTTCCAACCGTTTGTCTCTTTTGTTTGTAACTTTCAGAAATTACCAGCCTGAAACAATGCTGTCTTCCTTCTCAACAAACTAATAACAGAATAGGTAACAACCGATCCATCTGTTTCTTCGTAGCTCAAGTTTCTGTTGTACAGGCTACTTTCCTTCTTCTTTTTTTAATAAAGATTTCTGGGTTCTGAAATTTCAGGATGCCTAATGGCTGTTCCTGGCTGATACACGTGTCACCATTCTAGGTAGAGAGTCTGCTTCAACAGCTGAGAAGAAAGGAGTCAGGAAAGCCCTTGCTCTGCAGCCAGCTCTACTGCAGCAGGCAGGCCTCACTCAGGTGAGCCAGAAGTCAAGGTTCAGTCTCACATTTGCAAGAAAGGTGTCAAATCAGAGTTAAGACATTTGAAACCCAGAACCCCTTTAAGGATAGAGCAAATATCAAACTGTTCCTACCTAGTTTTAAGCCAAGCCAGAAGTCAGTTTAAGGCACAGTGTAGCTCCCCCTGTGGAGGGCAGAAGGGGAGCCCCAGAGCCACGGAGGCAGGAGCCAGGACAGCAGAGCAGAAAGGAATTGGCAGCAAAGGAAGACGGGGGGCGGGAAGGGGGTGCTGGCACTTGCAGGTGAATTTAAGCCAGAGGATACTGGAAAGACCCCATTTGAGAATGTTTTCATGGGTTAAACTGAATATGAAGTAATAAAAAGCAGTATGCCAAGTTTAAATGTAACCCTAAAAATGAACAATCTACACATTCTTACCTTTTGAATAATGTCACTAGCAAATATCTTTTTAAAGTACCAAAATTAACAGGTAAAGGATTTTTAAAAAAAATCTATTCTGATATATAATTTAAGACACCTTAACACAAAATCAGTCTCCCTATATAGCCGAGAAGCCCCCTACTACAATCTCTTTTAAATGTATTTTGCCAAAAAGCCCTTGATCTGAAACTTTTGGATAATTTGTGTTTGTTGGTACATGTTAAGATTTGAGTAGTTCAAAGTGCTATTGGTTTTCATCTCCAGTACTGCATTTTTTGTCAAGAAATTTATTAACCTTTACAAACACTATTTTCACTCAATCATTCATAAAAAATGATTTATGATTAAATCTGTAATAAAACCATATAACGTTCATCAATGCACTCAATAAGACCAGTTTCATCCATGGAACATAATAAACCACTTTAAAACAGCAGTTTTCATTCATGTCATATAAGGCTGTCAAATTAAAAGTATTCCTTATAATGGGCTGTTATCCAAGAAAGCCATTTCACCTCACGTCATGTGGTAAGACTGATGGACAGATCCTCTAAGAGTAGAATCTGAAAGTAGATCCCACCCCTTTGGTCACCTTTTCAGTCTCTCAAACAAGTTTCACAACAGGAAAGTATTTGTGAGCAGAGAAATCAAATTCAGGAGGAACCTGCAAAGAAAACAGTCAATCAGTATACCTGACACGTATTCTGACAGTAAACAGAACAGAGACTACTTTAATTTTAGAGCTTCTCATGTTTTTAGAGACAAGGTAGCAAAAAAAGATTAAAAAATTGGTTTAATGACAAAAATGTTAAGTCAGGCACTAACCTGGAGGGGAAGATGATTAGCTTAGCTCTAGATTTATGACGGGCATTAGGAAACATGCTGACCGGTAGTTTTCTATCTTCCAAGAATAGTTAACAAAGGAAAATGGACTTAAATTACAGGAAGGGGTCAGGGGTCAGGAATTTTGTTTTAATTCCAGGATTGCTGATACTCCGGAGCAATGAAATGAGTCACTGGTAAAGCAGAGCCGGAGATTGAGGGAGCAAAGGAACAGAAAAGCAATGGGGAGTAAACAGGTACCTATAAGATGGGCAAAAATGGGCAAATGGCACCAAAAATGCCTCAGTGGCCGGCCTCTCACTTCTGCACCACGCTGATGCAGCAACGCTGCCAAGGGGAGCTTACACAGTCTCCCATCTCCTGAGCCACTTACGTCTTTAATTATTGAAGCATTCACTTTTCTAAAAGCAGGTGGCTTTCTAAATACTTCACCCATAAATTTTTTTTTTACACATTTCTTTTATTACCTCCAGTCATTCAGTAATCTACATGGAAGGGCAGACTTCAGAGATTTTAAGTCAACAAAATCTGTACATTTCAAGGCAAAGTGGCGAGCTCTACTTTCTGCAGTTGAACCTTGTTTAGAATAGTTTTTATAAGCGTTTTAACTTTTCTGTAATATTTACACATCTGACTGAAACAAAGTGAAGTTTTACAATAATTTAAGACCATGTATTTTCCACACAAGATACTTACCTTAGATTCCTTTTTGTGTCCTCCTGCCAACAACTTCATAACCACAAAGTTGGGTTTGGCAACCTTTAAAATTCTGCTGACCTAAACACAATGAGCAACATAAAGCTATCAAAACATAAAATTCATAGTCAAAATATCCTGATTTATAGATACTAATAGGAACTGGGTACAATATAAGTGTTGAGATTTTATTAAAATAAAGGCAATTTAAAAACATGAACACCATCATACGTCTTTTAGTTAATACAGAACGAACCTGAAAGGGCTACTGTATCTTGCTTTCATCAAAACAAAATCTAACGTTAGGCTGCGGAATCCTGCAAAGACACCACCATAGTGTTTAGGGCATGGGCTCTGGAGTCAGGCTGTCCGTTTACAAATTCCAGCTTTGCCACTTACTAGCTATGAAACCTCTGGAAGTTTTCTAACCTCTCTGTTCCTCAGTTTCTTCATCTATAAAATGGGGATATTAATTTACCCATCCTGCAAGGATTTGTTGTGAGGATTGAATTAACATGAGCTGAGACCCACACCTGAAGGTAGTAAATGTAAGTGTTAACTTATTTCTAACAACCATTTGTCTAACAGGCTCCGCCTGAACACACGAGGAACAAGGGAATGGAATACTGCGTTTCTCTCAGGGGGTGTGAGCAGCTAGAAGAAAAGTCCTCCCCTCCCTCTTCTTCCCTGTCTTCACACATGCGCACAAGCTCAGGAACCGCTCCTCCTCAGCTCCAGGTGACACCTCCACCTACCTAGAGGACTGCTGCATTCGGGCATCCAAAAGGCTCGTCCCAAACTGAGCTCCTGACCTTCCCAGCCCTGCTTCCCCGCCTGCTCCAGCCTGTAGTCCTCCCCCCATGGCTCAATCCACTCAGACAGCGCTCAGGCCAAAAACTTCAAAGCCATCCGTGATTCCTCCTCTTCTCTCACCCCACATCCAATCCCTCGGCCAGTCTCACTGGCTAGACAACGCAGTCACTTCCGACCCACTGTTTCACCCGGATTACAGCACCGGCCTGCTAACTGGCTCCCCTGCCTCCACCCTTGGTCCCACCACAGTGGCCAGAGGGATCCTTTAGAACAAAGATCAGATCTGACACACCTCTGCTCAAACCTCTCCACAGCTCACCCTGGCATGCACCCCATCCAGCACACAGCCCTTGGCTGTTCCTGAAGTTCTCCAGGCACTCCTGCCTCTGGACCTTTACATGTGTGCACCATTCCCCATGACTTGCTTCCTCACCTTCTTCCAGGATTTGCTCAGAGGCCACCATATTCAACTATCTAATCCCCTCCACCTCCCTACCTCCTGTAGCATTCGCTGTCCCTACTCCCAGTTTGATTTTTCATAGTACTTATAATCTTCTAATAGACTGTATAATTTACTTATTTACTATCTGCCTGCTCTGCCCCGAGGAGGGCCTGGATTTCTGGCTGTGACTTTTCCCTGCTGGAACCTACCACATTGCTTAGGACGTCGCAGGCACTCTACAGTATTTACTGAGTTAAATAAATGAAGTCCACTGAAAGAAATACACCGTCCATTACAGGTACCTTCCTTTAATTTTTACACTCCCCCCTTTTATTTTCTTTCATTACATGGTTGTAAGTAACTTTAAAAAAGAGTCCTCTCTCTCCTATCCCTGTTCCCTAAGGCACTGAGCAACCCTTCCAAGAAGCAAATGCTGCTGTTAATTCCTCTATCTAGCCAGAGACAGGTTATACTCACACATGTAGTCTTCATTGGCTTCTTTTGATTGAAAGGGCAGCATACTATAGACACTAATTTTAAACTTGCTTTTTAAACTGCTTATATATCCTGAGGAGCATTCCATTACAGTTCATAAATACCTCCCTTGTCCTTTTTAGGGCTGCAGAGTATTCCACTGCATGATAAATCATATACCATGCGACCTCAAGATCCCCCTGATGGACTCTGAAGTTTGTTCACCTTTTTACTATTACAAATTCTGCACTAGATACTCTCGTGTATTCATCACTTCCCACACGTGCACATGCCATCTGTAAGATACATCCCAAGCGGCAGCACTGTGGGGCCCAACAACCTGTGGTTTGTCAGATACTGCTAAAGTGCTCTTCCGAATACACTCCCCTAAATGGGCTGTGTTTTACAGGTGACTCACAGAATAAATGCATTTCAATAAAACTAGGAATACAATCAATTAAGAAACTAACAAAAGCCTGAAATTCTACATTTTGCAAGTTCTAAGCTCTGTAGAATGATACTCAAAATAGTCTTCAAAAACAATAGCCTTTGTTTTAAATGGTCAAGTGGAATAAGGTTTTTACTTCCTGTGATAACTGATCTGATCATTTTTAGATTAAGATTTATATAATTATATTTTAATACAGTAAACTATAGATTAAAATTTTAATGGTAACATTTCTGAGCTGTGGATCAATCTGGATCTGATTTCTGTTCTTCCTGCTTACTTTATGGTTCTAAGTCTTAACTTCTCTTTGCACCTATTTCTACATTTCCACAAAGTGGGTATTTACATTACTTCTTTCATCAAATAATTTTAAGTCTGCCAAGGTTAGGTTAGCACAGCTATTCGAAATTCTTAGCAGAAACACGCCACGCTTCCCTCTAGAACCGCTGCAGCTGCGGCCTCACCTCATGGTCTGGGTTCGGGATGTTTTCCAGTATCATTTTTGCCTGCTGAAAGTGCTTGCTGGCTGCCACGTACAGCTCTGGAGACTGAGGAGGAGGGCTGTATTTATTGAGGTCAGACATTTCCTAAAAAAAAGATATTATTCAAAACATGTTTAATATGAAAAACCTCTAAAATGACTGTCTGTTCACATACGGATACTAAAGCGAACACTCAGCCTGTCCCTCGTTTTTCCTGTCCACTTCTCAGCCTTCATATACCGCACCTCCGATTATTCTCGTTATTTAAATACCTGTTCATGTTGTGAGCACATCCACCACAGCCGAATGGCTTCTGTACTGTTTAAAACTGCTGTTACCACTTATCCCACTGGTGCAACAACAGTTCCATGGGACTATCTACTTCAACAAAACGGCTAGGTACAAACAGCACATCTCCAAGAAGGTCTAAGACTAAATATTTTACAACTATGTGAAGGGACAGGTTCACCTTGAACTGCAAATAGTGCACTGGTGGTGGTGTCATTACACTGTTGAATGGAGCAAATCTGTGCTCGTATCGAACTTGTTCACTGTCGAGCTCAAACTTGGGTTTTCGTACTTTGCCATCCATGTCAAATGCTACCATGGTCTACGGAAGAAAGAGAAAAAAAGATGACATCAACATGAAAATATGAACATCCTCATTACTACAGGACACAAAACAAGAAACAGCCGTTGACACACGGTTAAAACAAGGCTCAGAAATCAGAAACAAACAGGCAGAGAAAACAAACTGGCTTTAGTATTCGTTTTGCCGTTACATGCCATCTTTCATACAGAAAATAGTCAAGTTCCACGTCTAACAAATTACTAATTTTCCTGGTGAAACTGTACCACATGCACATTACTCTTCCGTGCCTAATGCTTTTACAGTAGCTTTGAAACCTTCAAGTAAAAGGTCCTGAAGAAAAAGTAGTGTACCATCTATATTAAAGAAAAGCTTTATACTGCACTGCCCAGGGAAACAGATTCAGTATCTTGTAGTAGTTCATGGTGAAAAAGAGTATGAAAATGAATACATGTATATTCACGTACGACTGACGAATTGTGCTATACACCAGAAATCGACACAACATTGTAAACTGAATATAACTCAATTACAAAAAAAGCACTGGTCCTGTTTTTCAAACAGAAGTCCATGTTCTGTTTTATGTATTTTAATATAAGTTGCCTCAAATCATTTCTTGAATCGCCAAGTACAACTTAAGAGATACTCACTACCTCCTGGAAATGCCTGCTTTGCTTAGGCCATTCACTGGGGAACTTGCCCCCTTCCTAATCAATGCACTTCTAAAGAAATCCAAACCCCACCTCTTCTAAGAAACCTTTCCTGATCATCAGTCAGAACTATTACCTGTGCCACATATATGTCACCTGGCTTGTCATAAACTAGGCACTTGAGACAAGGATCACATCTGATTAGACTTGGTCTCCTCCAATGTACTCAGTACAAGGTATCTGACACATGACAAGGGGTCAACAATTGTTAAAAATCACTAGACTTAGGGAAAAAGGGTAATTTTCACTAAGCAGATAATGAAAACAAAGGTGAAATTAGAACCTGGAAAGACTCACAGAAGAGAGTTCATTTTATTTAAACTATATAATAGCAATGTAGTTAAAAAAACAACTTACTTTAAACATTCCAGCACACATGTTCTGATATGCCTGGCTCATTGTGATCTCTCGGCTCAATGGGCGAACTGTAATTAAAAAGAAGATCATCCAGACTCCTTCCTCCTCTTGCTTTATAAAACATCTTCCACCTTGTTTGCTAAATTACAATTTCAAACAATTTGTTTCTTAAGGCTAAGTTTTATTTTATGGCCAAAATCAACAAATAGTAAAATACAGTAGAAAGGCTAAACAATAATTGTATTCTCCAGATGGCTAGTACCGTAAGACTTTAGTATGAATTAACTGTAACTTCTTCTGAAGCCATAATACAGAGATGACTTATCCAGGAGAGCCATGGATACGCTCATTTAATGACCTAATCAAACTGTTGAAATTTGAAAGCACTATTTTGTAACGACTGCAGCCTATCTGTACCTTCCCATGAGTGATTAATAGGGGAGTCCTTTGGAAACCTTTCTCTGTCCTCGTGGTCCTTGGGCGGTATGCTGAGACGCTCTGTGACCACCCTTCTGGGCCAACTGTACCGGCACAACTCCAGATCTACTTCCTGCCTGAGCTGTCAGCCCTCTGCCAAAGGTCTCTTGCTGCCTTGATCCTTAACCTATCTTATGCAGCTACTTCTTGTCCTAAGATCCTTTGACAAATGAAGTCGCAAAGAAAAGAAAAGCAAGGAAAGGAACCGAAAAGGTTTGCACCAACATTGTGACTCAGTTTTCACCCTTACACTTTTTGAAGAGAGTATAATGACTCATTCACCCATTCAAAAGCACAGGTAGCTCTCCATCTATCTATCTGTTGAAATTAAAGTGCACTCCAATGTTACTTATTAAGTTTAAAAATAATTTACATCACCTTTCTTCTTTTTCTTTGTTTTTTTACTACTACGGCCTTTCTGCTGCTCTTCCATTATCCTTTCCTCTGCCATCTGAGAGCCATCGGCACGACTTAATGTCGACATCAACCATGCATAAAGGAATTCAGAGAGATACCTTAATGGAAAGAAAATGTTAGTTAATGGTCAATGTCTAAATGAGGAAGCTTGGTCAATACATGCACTGGTACTAATAAAGAGGTTTTTTAATAATGCTTTAAAGGTTTTTTTTTAAATAAGATTATTCAATTAGATAATCACTAGCTTAGATCTGACAAGAAATGAGCATGACAAGTGATTAATTTCCCCTTTCTTGTGGCCATATATGTTGCCGTACAATACAGAAAATTTTAATTTCCTATAATGATATGAGCTTCGCAACTTTTCAAAAGATTTCTTGGTGGGGAGGGCTAGGACAAATTAGGGGTATGGGATTAACAGATAAACTATACATAAAATGGGTAAGCAACAAGGATTTACTGTACAGCACATGGATTTATGCTCATTATCTTGTAATAACCTATAATGGAATACAATCTGCAAAAGTACTGAATCACTATGCTGTATACCTGAAGCTAACACAATACTGTAAATCAACTGTACTCTAATAAAAAATAGACTTTTTGATAATTACATATATATGTAAATCAAATAAATGTCCATTAAATTGCTTTTACTGTATCAGGTCACATTGCACCTAAACCTATTATGTAAATATTTTATTTTCCTATTAATTATAAAACCAAATAAGAGAAAATAAAAAATCATATGCATTATGCAGAACGAGTCTAAAAAATTAATAATTTGCAGGCTTATAATCTACTTGAATTTATTTAATAAGGAAATGTTAAATAGATTATTCCACCAGATACTAAATTTTCTTAAGTTTAAACTAACCAACAATATTTAAGCCAGAAAAACAGTTTAAATCTAGTATACAAATATATATTCTTTGAATAAAATTAAGGCCCACTACCACATTAAGTGAAAAATCAAAGATTTATAAGAAATGTTACTATGATCAAGTCTGAGGGTATGACGCTTATTCCCAAAATTTTTCAAACAGCTGGTACGGCAAGTTACAATAGTAAAACACATACCAAAAAGAACATTTTAAAGCAAAACAAAAACCAACGAAAAGATACACCTGGAATGACTTAGGTACTGTATTTTAAAGCTAAACTGAGCACTATGCATCCTGGCAGCTAAAGTAAACCAGGAAATATATATTTTTATTTTATTTTAAAAAGCATGTAATTTCATATGGAGAGAAAATTCCTGACAATGAATTTAAGAAAAACATTTATTACAGTATCTTTGTATAGGATATATACACTATCACCACAAAGTGAGGATTTGTAACCTACCTTAATGAGATTTCTCTAGGGAACTAGCGCTACTTTCTACATTTTGACCGACTAACACAGGGACAGGTGAGTACAGAGGAGAGATGGCACAATTCAGGCCTTCCCTGTCAAAGATCAGGTATCTCGGTGAGCTTGTGGTGAGTGCCTTATCAGAATGAACACACAGCTACATCCAAGGAGAGTCAGAGTGCTAATATCCATACCAGTGGTTCTCAGTTGTGATCTCAGGACCAGCAGCAGTGTCACCAGGGAACTAGTCAGACATGCAAATGACTTGGTGGGTCCTACCCAGACCCACCAAACCAGGAACTCCAGGAAGTTCCCTTCCCAGCAAGTTGTGTATTAATGTGCTTTCCAAGTGATTATGATGCAAGCTAAAGTTTAAGAATCAGTTTTCTCCTGATTTTAAAAGGGTCCACACGCTTTAGGGGTCGCCATCCTGAAGAACAACAACGTATACTGTGTAAAAATATTGGAGCCCAGTCTGTAATTTTGAAACTAAAAAGCAGTAAAACTAACAAGCAGACCACAAGGGTACTTGTAAGTAGAACTAAAGTTTCTTTTGTTAACAAGAAAAGAAATGAATCTGCTCAAGTATACAGGTAAATTTCTAATGGAGTATTTATCTGAATATCATTCATTTGCCAGTT